TCTCTCACACACAAAGAGTCAAGGATGGGGCTGAGCAAAGGATGTGAAGGGTCAATCTCTCTCTCTTTCATCCCTCATTCCTTCTCTCTTTCTCTTTGCTTTCTCTTGTATTCCTCTGTCTCTCTGCTCTAGATCCAGGCGTGGGTTTGAACCCTTGAACGGAGTGGATATGCTCTGGTGTCACAACGCACGGACACCAAAACACTGTTATCTAAAGCACCGACACTAATTGACCCTTACAGCCATAATATGAAGTGTGTGTGTGTCAGAGAGAGAAAAGAGAGGGAGAGGGAGAGAGCGAGAGCGAGAGGTCAAGGGCAATATGTTTTGTTTGTTTAAACTTGTGGTTTATATTCTTTGTTTGCTCAAAGTATCTTGGACAACTTGAGTTTGTTTCAAGTGCTTTAGTTATATAAGTGATATTGAATGAGTTTTATGGGGCGGGGGGGGGGGGGGGGGGGGGGTTAGTTATTTTTAATCTGTCTATATTGAAGACCACCTGAAAGTGTGGGAGAGAGGGAGAGAGGAGAGAGAGAAGAGAGAGAGACGACAGAGAGCAGAGGATGAGCCAGGAAGAGAGATGGATGAGACTGAGTGAGAGAGAGATGAGAGACATCGAGAGATGGCGAGAGAGAGAGATGGTCGAGAGTGAGGAGAGGAGCGAGAGGAGACGACGAGAGGGAGGAGAGGAGAGAGAGAGAAGAGAGAGAGAGAGAGTTCTGAGGAGAGAGAGAGAGAGGGGGGGCGAGGGGGGAGAGAGAGAGGAAAGAGAAAGGATCTTCTTTAGCCTATTTTTCTTTTGTTTTAATGGTTATAGCATCATTTCGTCACACAATGTTTAACCTCCCTTTCCATTTCCCCCTTTCACAGACATGGAACAGCAGCCGCACAAGCTGTCCCAAGGGGCAGGTGTGTGTGTGTGTGTGTGTGTTCTCACACCCTGACTAACGTGAATCATGTACTTTCTCATATCAGTGACAGCTAACTAGACAAGGGCTTTAGCTGCCTCTGACCCCTCTCAACCCAAGCCATTCTTTACAATGAAGGAAACTTTCCATTCACACACGCACACACACACACACACACACACACACAACACACACTCACACACACACACACTATCACTCATTTCAAAACATTTGTCATTTCTACAAGCTTGTGAAAACTTACATTCAGATCAAATTGCCTCCTCAATGTCCTACACTGTAACTTCCTTTTTTAAATAGAACAAGGATGTTTTCGAAGCGAAAATGTTATAAAAGGGGCCACACATTTTATCTCAGGATATGTTCAAATTTTTTGTATCAAAATGTACAATGTGCCATTATAGCATTTCTTTGGAGGGCATTGTATTTTGTTTGTGATATATGCAGACAAAAGTTAATCTATTATAATTATTCTGTATTCTCATATAAATGTGTTAAAGTATTTGTTATCTTGTGAATATGCTTATGTTACTACAATTGTATATATTTGAGAAGGGATTTCTACACTTATCTAAAGATATTCAGGATTCATTTCTATTGAAATGTAATTAGAAGTTTGAGAAAAGTGGTGCAGGAAACGAAGTGCAAATTCACCTTGGTCATCATCATATTATTATCCAAAATATACAACTATCTGGGAACCTCTACTGTGGATAATCTAAAAATGATAAAATAACTGAAATGCCACTGGTATGTTTGTAAAATATTAATTTGTAAAAGCCATCGGTTCAGGATATTGAAATATTAAATATGCTATAATAATAATAACAATAACAATAATAATAATAATAATAATAATAATAATAATAATAATAATAATAATAAATAAATACACATTTTTATAAGAATGTTATTGTGGAAGATATTTAGCCGTGATTATTTTTACTGGGACTTACCTCCAAAATGCATTTTTAATTTTCGCAAAATCCTTTATTTCCTTTCAGTGCGCACTGATTAAATCAGCAGGGCTTTATCCAAAGACTCCTGGACTAATTGCGTAATGATGAATTAGTATCTCTTTTGTTGGTTTAACCTTTTCAAACCTTTTCTCCATCAACTTTATTTTCCCTTGATTAGTCTAGCTTGAAGTATCTTCTCTTGAAAAAATAATCTTCTGAATCCAGTGTCCATGGAACTACACTCTCTCTAATTAAACATTTGTGAGTTGATAAAAAATATCGCTGTCTATAAAAGCCGAGGTGTGCGCACCAAATCCGCCTGGCTGACTTTGACCGTCCGCAGACTTGACGGGTGTGTGGTCTGTGTGACAGACTGACTGACGGCGGAGGGTTTTTGTAAGGAGGGAGAAAGTTTTTCTGCCCCCCTTCTTTCCCCCTCCCATCCTTTTCCTCCTTTCTTTAGTTATTCTCCTGGTGATTCACCAAGTTGACGCATCGCTAAACTTGAAGGCGTCGTTGGAAGCACGAGACTCGAACTTGTCACAACTAATTTCTATCTCTGTGATTCTTCATTTTCATCAAACATATCATTATTTCATTCGTTTCATGTTTCATCATGATATTTGTCAATGGCATATAGCCTTACCTCAGCGAATTAAAAATTAAGTAAATAAGCTCTATGAATAGAGCGTGATGCGTCTGTATGTGTGCGGTCATTGTGTATTTAGGTGTGTGTGTGTTAGCCTATGTGAATGTTTGCCTGCTCCACTCCTAACTTTCTCCTTTGTGTTATATTCATTCCTTTGGCATTAGCTTTATTGACAGTTAGATTAGTCTGATCTCCTTCTCTCACCTTCACCTGTCAGTCAACATGTGCCATTGTGTACCCATAGTGTGGGGCTGCGTATGATGTGTGTGTGTGTGTGTGTGTGTGTGTGTGTATGTGAGAGAGAGAGAGAGAGAGAGAGAGAGAGAGAGAGACAGAGAGACAGAGAGACAGAGATAATTATTTGTTAAATCTAACAATTTCAAAACTAATATTTAATTATTGTCAAAACATTGATATGTGTATGCTCATAGTAGTAGTCATGGTATGTTGATATTGGAACAAGGCGACAGGATATTACAAAGCTTTTACAGGATTTCAGTAACCTATTAGCGTAATTCCTCTGCCAAAGTGGTACAGTAGGCTATATTGGACAGGACTGGTGGGGAGTCTTGTAGCTTCATCATCATCCATCGTCACAAATGAGCAATTCAATTGGAGAACCTCTCACGCATTTTATAACAACAGGCTGCTGCGTGCACCCCTTAGTGGTGGTGAGCAGTTATTGCATGCGGTCCTGACAACTTTGAGAGGTTTCTTTGCATTTCATAACAGGAGACAAGTAGGCCTACCTTAATGACTGAAAGCATTCGTATCAAACAATTCTCACCTATTTCTAAGCCAAGTTGTTTATGTGTGTCAGACGAAAGACCTACACGGTCGGCAGAACATCTTTGAAAAGTGTTACTTTCTGGAAATTAGAACGAAACGGAAGTAAATTCAAAAGTAGTACGGATTATTTCCGGTGACGTCAGCTCTTGGGCTGATGCTTCACGCGGGAAACAGCGAGGTCTCCTCATCACATTGACAGTAAGACATCAAAGTTTGTTCGTTTTATTCAGGGAGATATTTAGTGGATTGTAAGTAAATGTGTATAAAACCAAACAGTTGAGACCAGTAAAATTGGCCTAGCTACTATTGATCCATAGGAGTCAAATAGTTAGCGAAGAAACGCCACATAATCACTAGCCAGCTAGCCAAACTGGCATCCATTTACTAGCCACATCGCTAGTACGAATGGCCAGCTAACTATGGTAGCTAAATAGCTAGTATCGGCATGTTCTAGCCACAAAGAAAGCAGCTAGCTACAGTTTGCTTATTGTTGTTCTCTCAATACTAAGCTTTTATACCCGCATTGAGTTGTCACTTGTAAATATTTAGCTAACTAAGTTAGCTTCATGGTTGTTGTTATTGGCTAGCTAGCCAAACTACATGGTTTGATTTAACCTAGCTAGATACTAAATGAAATGTCAACAACAACTCACATGTTGACTCAAAGGAATTAGCTTGCTACCTAGCTAGTTAGCTATTACAACTTGGGCTCCTCTACAAATTAATAACATTGCTAACTAACTGTTTGACAATATCTTATTCTGTGTACGCAGCTGAACATCAGTTCTTGCGGAGGCAGAAATGGGAGACACGCTTGAGTTCAACGAGATCTACCAGGAATCCAAGGGGTCCTGGGTCAGTAACTAGCTTACCTCATGCCATCTACCATCAGTGTCTTAACAAACCAGTGTCCTTCTATCCTGGTCCTGGAGAGCCCCAGGGTGTGCAGGCTTTTGTTGTAGCACAGTACTAGTTAACACACCTGCTTAGATGAATCAGGTGTTAGTCCTGCCTAGGATGAAAGTAGAACACATGCCTGCACACCCTGTGGGTCTCCGGGATCAGGATTGAAGTACACATGGGTAGCATGGATATTAGGGTTGTCACGATACTAGGAAGTAAGGATGGGAAGGAAACAAAACATGAAGCAGACTTCATTTCTTATTTTTTCACCCAGTCACATTTGTTAATTTGCTAGCTATAGCGCACAATATTTGACTAAAGTAGATTTTAAAGGACCATAGAGTGAAGTCTTTGCTTTGTGCTTTCTTTTTTGCAAAGGAAAATCTGGTAGTGTAATTCAGTGGTTCCCAATTCAGTGGTCCCCCCCCCCCCCCCCCCCCTGGGACTCAGTCTGGCTTTAAAATTACTCTTGAAAGTTGTAATAGTAGAATGCACAAGGTGCAATTTAAAAAATGGGTTGTGCATCATCAGTTCCTCATCTCATGTTAGTCATTGCACACCTTAGAGAGCTATTTATAACTTGTCAGAAATGTCCTGATCGACTAGCCCATGTCAGCTAAGGTTTTTTTTTTTTTTGTTCCCCAATGCTGGAAGGGGGGCCACCAAGTGGAAAAGTTTGGGAATCCCTGTTGTAATTGATAGACAAATAAATGACCACAAGTTTGGCGAAGACGATAGCCTAAGTGTATTTATGAGTGAGTGGTCTCTCTGCAGAACGACGGTCGTCTGCGGTTCAGTAAGCAGAATCTGGTGTATAAGAGCAGTAAGACAGGGAAGGTGGACAACATCCCGGCAGCAGAGCTGTCTCAGGCCACATGGAGGCGTGTATGTCTGGGACACGGCATCAAACTGGCCACCAGCACCGGACATGTCTACAAATATGACGGCTTCAGAGACACGGTGAGGCAGTGGTGTGTGTGAACGAGTGAGAGAATTTGCTTGAAAATGGTTGTGTGATTGTCTGTGTCTGCTGTGGTTTTGTGGTTTTCTTCGTGAGAATTCCGTGGGTAGGTGTCCGGTGAGCTTTTAGATACATTTGTTTATCTGTTCACAGGTTGTGTGTGCGTGCTTGAGAGTGAGTGTAAGAGTGGATCTGTGTATAATCTAGCCTTACCAGTGCTGCTGGAGAGGGAGAGAAGGAAGGCTGGTCTCCTGAGGTTAATCAGTGTATATTTGAAAATGGGATCTTCTGACTGTGTGGGTTCAGACGATGATGTCATTGTTTATTATCCTGCACACTGTCACTGGTGAGGAATTCAAACATAGGTTAATGGAGCAGCCAGCCAGTCAGTCAGTTTGATGTATTCACCTTCTATATCATGTTCCGTGACACCTCTGGTTAAACACCACCTCAGCCCACTCCCCATGCATACTCAATGCTTTGAATGTCTGTCCTAAACAAGTAATGATAATTTATTTGATTTAGGAGTGGTGAAGTGCGCCGGCGAGTTTTGAAATCCACGTATCAGAAGTCATCTGTTTACTAAGTTGGTACTACTTGTGAAGCACACCGCTCTTTAACGGAGTTTGCTTTGTATTGATCAGGACTCCACTGTATTAGCCATAACTGGGTTCTATTCACTAGGCACAAAACGGAAACAAAGCCGGGGCCGACACGGGGAGGGACGATCTTGTCCAATGAGAAGGGCTTGTTTTCGTTTAAAATACTTTGCTACGGTGTCTGCTAATGCATAGCACCCTGGTGTGAAGATCCTATGGCAGCGTCTGTGTTACAGAGCATCATATTAGTTAGGGGGAGAGGAAGAGGGGTGGTGGAATGGAACAGCTATGGGGTGGAGGATTGGAACTGTTGTTTGGTGTGTGTGTTTATGCATATAGTGATTCTGTGTGGATAGTGGATGGGAAGACTGGGATGAGTGTGATTTATTATTGTTGTGTGAGGTAAGCAACAGCACTCTGCCAAAGCGGTAATGAGAGACAGCTCTTAACACGGGCTGATGAGGACAGCAGGTACACACACTGATATGTACGTCTTTACACAGTTACAGGCCACTCATTATACACACACACACACAGATTTATATCCAGTATATACTCAGAAATGTAAACACACTTAGATCTGTATACACGTGCTGTCACACAAACACAATGCCTTCATACATCTTCACAAACACACGCACAGATGCTGTCAACACACTGATCTGATATCCTATACACACACACACACACACACACACTGATGTATATTCTCTTTCGCTGTCCAACACACACACACACACTGTGGGCTCTCACACTCTCTAACAACCTAACAGACAAGCTGATACCCAGGTGCATAAACTCTCTTTCCCACACACTCTTTTTCCTCTTTCACACACACACATACACACTTTGTCCTTCACACACATGTGGAAGTGATTGCGGTGTGTCTGTGTGCCCCAGCTCTAATCGGGCCTGCAGGATAAATAAACAGGCTGATTGTAAGCGGCGGAGAGAGCGGACGGATTACATTCACCTCCAGCGTCCCAGGGGGCCGAGTGGCGGGAGGGGCCATAATTGAGCTTTGATTAATTAGCCCCCGCATCGAGGGGGAGGAAAGGGGGGGTGTTTTTCAGAATAGTGGGGGAAGTAAGGATTTAACTGAGAACATCTTTCTACTCAGTTTTTTCTCTTTCACTTTCTCTCTTCCTCCTCTCTTCCTTTCCCCCTCCACACATCTCCTCTCTTCCTTTCCCCCTCCACACATCTCCTCTCCCCCTCCACACATCTCCTCTCTCCCTCGGCAGGATTATGAGAGGATCTCGGAGTTTTTCAAGGCCAACTACAAGGTGGAGCTGACAGAGAAGGACATGTGTGTGAAGGGCTGGAACTGGGGCACTGCTAAATTCTCTGGTAAACCACACCCACTAAAACTCTAAATACCCATCACACAACACCGTAGCAGAGGATCTAATCGTTCTATAGTTTCCTCTTGGATGGCTTGGACGTTTTCAAAACCATATTTTTCATCTCTCTGGATCTCTCTTGAAGAGTTCGTTGTAGCGTTCCTCCAGCTGTGCTGCATTATGGGAGCTGTAGTCTTTAACCCCCTCTCTCTCTCCTCTCTCTCCCCTCTCTCCCTCTGCAGGTCCATTGTTGTCGTTTGATGTGAATGACAGCTCAGTGTTTGAGATCCCCCTGGCCAGCGTGTCCCAGTGTGCGACAGGGAAGAACGAGGTGATGCTGGAGTTCCACCAGAATGATGACGCTGAGGTCTCTCTCATGGAAGTTCGTTTCTACGTCCCCCCCGGCCCCGTAGACGAGGGGGCAGACCCTGTGGAGGTAACCCACGCTCTATTACCGGACCTGTACCAAGGATAGAACTAACTAAACAACCACTCTGTACTGCTGCTGGTTGAATGGAGTGAACGTCAGTGCCTTACTGGCTTTACCCCAGCAGATGGCGCTAACACTACAGCTGTCATGTACTCAGAAACAGTTCATTTTTCACACCAACATCAATGATGCAGTGATTGATGTTATTCCTGTTTTAACCTTCCTTCCTGTCAGGCGTTTGCCGCGAACGTGCTGTCTAAGGCAGATGTGATCCAGGCTACAGGAGATGCTGTGTGTGTCTTCAAAGAGCTGCAGTGCCTCACACCCAGGGGCAGGTACTGTGGCATCAGCACCACCAACCACTATTCATCAGTATTAGCCATCATTGTTTTATATAATGTTACTCTACACTTATCAGATTCATCCGCAAAGTGTTCACTTGGCTCAATACCATCCCCCCTTCCAAATAGTAACCACCACAGACAAGTAGAGCTGAGCGATTAGTGATTTCTTTGAAGGTTTGTTAGATTTTTTATTTTTTTAATATCACGGTTTTTGATAATTAATAAAACAACAACATTTTAAATGCATTATGAAATAATGACATTACAATGGTTTTGGAGCTTTTTAATGGATATTCCAAAGCCCAAAATGGTGAACATTCAATTGTCAGGTCCACATTGGGTAGACATCAATAGAAAAAATAGGAAATTACCATGAAATAATGAAATAATTAAGTTGTGTATATTACTTTTTTTAATTTTTTGACTTTATCATGTTTAATTCCTTAAAGTCATCTCTTCTCTGCTCAGGCAGGAGCAGTCAGCCAGGCCATCTAACATGATGTGCTCCCCATACTGTAGTGTCTTTAGTCATCCTATTTAGCTAGCCTGCCTAAGTATGCTGCAGAGCTGTCTGACAATCATTTTACTAGTTCTTCAAAGTAGATAAGGCATACTTCCCAGAACTGTCTCAATCCCTCTCTCTCCTCATTGTGTTGTGTACATTCCTCTCTCATACAGTCTGTGTATATCTAAACTAACGTAGCAGCCGTAAAAGTGTATCCGTCCAGAGATCTGTATATAATGATGAGATGCTCATGTCTCCGCCCTAACAATGGGAGTCATTGTCCCAAAGGCGGGAAGGCAGGTGACAAGCTTAGGTCCGAAATAAGCCCATAGAAATGCATTGGGCTTATTTTGGACAGATTCTGGCGAGAGTGAAACCTCTTGCTTCGCCTATTCCTCTCTGATCCGTCTCTGTCCGTGACATAAAAAACAGGCGCAATGATTTATGGTCATTGTATACTGAACAAAAATATAAATGCAACAATTTCAACGGTTTTACGGAGTTACAGTTATAAGGAAGTCATTAAATTGAAAGAAATTAATTTGGCCCTAATCTATGGATTTCACATGACTGGGCAAGGGCTCAGCCATGGGAGGGCATAGGCCCACCCACTTGCGAGCAAGGCCCACCCACTGTTGAGCCAGGCCCAGCCAGTCAGAATGAGTTCCCGCAGGTGAAGAAGCCGGATGTGGAGGTCCTGGGCTGGCGTGGTTACACGTGGTCTGCAGTTGTGAGGCTGGTTGGACATTGCCAAATTCTCTAAAATGACTTTGGAGGCAGCTTATGGTAGAGAAATGGACATTAAATGATCTGGCAACAGCTCTGGTGGACATTCCTGCACTCAGCATACGAATTGCACACTCCTTCAAAACTTGAGACATCTGTGGCATTGTGTTGTGTGACAAAACTGCACATTTTAGTGTGCCCTTTTATTGTCCCCAGCACAAGGTGCACTTGTATAATGATCATGCTTTTTAATCAGCTTCTTGATTTCTGGGATCTTTTATTTCAGCTCATGAAACATGTGACCAACACTTTACATGTTGCGTTTATATTTTTGTTCAGTATAGTTAATTACCACGTTTCTGCGCAGAACTAGGTTAAATATTTGCTTAGTGAAAATTTTAACTCCCTTCGGCCCAAGCGTCCCACATAGTTTTATTTTGTGAATGATTTGATTTTTCACTAGAGAAACGGCGCGTTGGACTCCCCAAAAAATGACGTAGGTCAATTCGTTGTTTAATAACCACCCAAAAAACTAAATGTTGGTTAGTCTCTCAGCGCTACCTACAAGAAAAACACCTACTTTGAACAAAGGTCTTCCTCTCTTTCTTGCCCTCATTCACCATCTTTCTTCTCTCTGTGTCAGGTATGATATCCTCATCTACCCTGCTTTCCTCCACCTCCATGGTAAGACGTTTGACTACAAGATCCCCTACACTACCGTGCTGCGTCTCTTTCTGCTACCACACAAGGACCAGAGGCAGATGTTCTTCGTGGTAAGTGTACTGTGTGTGTGTTTGATTGAGGTGAGTGGTTGACAGTCGAGTGTAGGTTGTATTAAGTTGTGTTAGGCACCAAACATGTGGACAACAGTCATGCTCACTTTAAACCCCATGCCGTCGTCTTCAATTCACAATCCTTCCCTCCCTCCCTCCGTCTATAGATCAGTCTGGACCCGCCCATCAAGCAGGGACAGACGCGTTACCACTTCCTCATCCTGCTCTTCTCTAAGGAGGAGGAGCTCAGCCTCACCCTCAACATGAGCGAGTGAGTGGGAGAAAAACACGACAGCAGCTCAACACCACATGGGAGAGGAACAATGAACCCGTATTGTTAGCTGGCGAGAATCCCTTGATACAATTTCTGTTTCTCTCTCCTCTCTCTTTGCGCCCCCCCTCTCCCTTCTGTCTCCCTCTACCATCCCTCCTCTCTCTCCGTAGGGAGGAGGTGGAGAAGCGTTATGAAGGGAAACTCAGTAAGAACATGTCCGGTTCTCTCTACGAGATGGTCAGTAGGGTGATGAAGGCTCTGGTCAACAGGAAGATCACCGTGCCCGGAAACTTCCAGGGGTAAACACACACACGCACCCGCACAACACGCACACGCTTGCAGAATCACTCGCAGATATGCACCAATGTTCCTCCTCCCTCTGAAGTTTAAACCCTGTGGCGCTTACACCGTTCCTCTTCGTAAGGACTACATTATAAACACATATATTATCATAAAGAACTTTGTCATGTATTTCATAATTGAGTCTCCCTCCCCTCCTCTCCCCTGTAGTAACACCCCTGGGGCCCAGTGTATAACGTGTTCCTACAAGGCGCAGTCAGGCCTGCTCTACCCCCTGGAGAGGGGTTTCATCTACGTGCACAAGCCCCCCGTGCACCTGCGCTTCGAGGAGATCTCCTGTGTCAACTTCGCCAGAGGCACCACCACAACGCGCTCCTTCGACTTCGAGGTGGAGACCAAGCAGGGGAACCAATTCACCTTCAGCAGCATAGAGAGGTATGGAGGGGACTTAGAAACGAACACACACAACCCTATAGATTCTTTGCCTGATGAATGGTTTCTGTTTTTTTTCCCTCTGTCCATCACAGAGAAGAGTATGGGAAGCTGTTTGACTTTGTAAATGCCAAGAAACTCAACATCAAGAACAGAGGATTCAAGGAGGTAACCTTTAGGAGATGTTTACTGTGGTGGAAATACATTCAACTCTCCTCCAAGATGTGTTTAGAAATATTGACGGATTTCGCTCTTTTCTTGTGTGTCTGTTGTGTAATCCTGAAGAAGAAGGTTGGTATGGTTACGGGGTTCGGGAGTGTTGGCTTGGTTTTTGGTTTGGAGTGATTACTGCTCGCATGGAGTGTTGGGTGGAGGGGGGGGGGGGGGGGTGTCTGTGTGTTGAATGGGGAAGAGGAGGGTGCTAAAATTCTAATCATGGGGGTTGATTGCTGTGAATGGCCATAAATGATTTACTAATCGGTTTATGATTATGCTATTTTTTGTGTGAGAGACATCTAGAGATGTATCGGTGTGTGTGTGTGTGTGTGAAAAAGAGAGAGGTGCGAGTGTGTGTGTGTGGTTGGTTGCCTGCATTGTCTTGACTAATGTATTGCCCGAGGCTTTGCAGTGGTTTAACTGAAAGACGAAACAGCTCCTCTAAACCAAATACAGGAAGTCCTGATTTTTCACCCATAATGCTCTCTGGTAATATAAACATAGCCCACTCTGTCCGTCAACGGCCCACTTTGTTGCCCTGGGTGGTAGATGCCATGGTAACAAACAACTACATTGGGGTCACCTGAACGGTCAAGAACTACAAATGATCCTGTCCTCCACTTCCTCCTGTTTGTATAGCTTCTTAGCTTTTCACCTAGGGAGAATCTCAATTGCATCTCCTTGATCCTTCGCATCCTCTCTTCGCCTCCTCAAAACCTCTCTGATGAGAAGGTCAGAGGGGAAGGATCTCTGACATCATCCAGGGGAGAACGACTGCCCCCTCCCTCATTGAAGCCACAGCGGTTCAATGCTGATCGTGGTATTGCAGGCATTGTTTGCAGAAAACGTGATCCCCCATTATAGTGAATGGAAAAATGTCTATCTTTGTGGTCAGTCTTCTTGTAAAAAAAAAAAAAATTTGTTTAGAAGACAATCATGGTGCCAATAATTGCTTCTAATACACCTGATATATGTCCTTGAGCCGATTATTTTAAAATCGCACACAGAATAAGTTATAAGGATAATTTAGTTGCTAGTGGCAGCCTGCAGTACCCCGGTTGGCCTTCAACTCGAGTTACTCAATGAGAGAGGGCAGCACTGAGCTAGCCTGCAACGTCACTTTCTGGAGTAGCTAAACTGCGCATGTTATGTCTCCAGGAGGCGCCATCTTAACCAACTTCATTTGTCTTCAATGTGCTATTTAGTCTTACCATAGGAATGAATGGTGTCACGTGATCGATGGCTTTGTCCATACATATATACAGTCATTGTTCTCATCCAATGGGTTTTGAGAGGGAGGCGAAGAGAAAGGATGCGAGGAATCAAGTTAATGCAATTTAGATTCTTCCCTGGTCTCCCCTTTTCCTAGGAGTAGTCCTAAAGGTACGGAAAGGAAGCCATTGTAAAGTGTTGGAACACAGCCCCTTCTGTACCTTAACCTGCTGTCCGTAGGAAGAGATAGAGATGCAGGGCCTTGCTGGAGCATCATGGGTAGTGTAGTCTGACTCTGCTGCCCCCCCCCCCCCCCCCCCCCCGACAGGGCATGAAGAGTAAGAACAACGAGTACAGTGACTCCGATGAAGACCAGCACGACGCCTACCTGGAGAGGATGAAGGCTGAGGGCAAGATCAGAGAAGAGGGAGACGGCAGCAACGACTCCGACGAAGAGACCGGTAAGTGACGACTCCCGCAGCCAATAGGGTGGCCGGACCGCTCCCGTAGCCAATCAGGGCCTCACTAGTAAGAGATCTCAAAGGGACTCATTAATAGATTTAAAATGTCATAGGTATGTATGGCTGTTGTGAGATTTCCATTTCCAACAGAGCAGCATGTTTGGGAGGGCTGTGTTAGTGACTTGTTTTTTATTCTCTTTTTACTAGATGAGTCGTTCAACCCTGGGGAGGAGAGTGATGTCGCTGAGGAGTGAGTTTTAACCCCTCATCCATTGCCCATTTCAGTTCTTCTCTCTCCCGCTCTCTCTCTAACAGTATTCCTCCCCTCTCTCTCCCCCTCTAACAGTATTCCTCCCCTCTCTCTCTCCCTCTCTCTCTCTAACAGTATTCCTCCTCTCTCTCTCCCTCTCTCTCTCTAACAGTATTCCTCCTCTCTCTCTCTAACAGCATTCCTCCCCTCTCTCTCTCTCTCCCCCTCTAACAGTATTCCTCCCCTCTCTCTCTAACAGTATTCCTCCCCTCTCTCTCTCCCTCTCCTCTCTCTAACAGTATTCCTCCTCTCTCTCTCCCTCTCTCTCTCTAACAGTATTCCTCCTCTCTCTCCCTCTCTCCCCTCTAACAGTATTCCTCCCCTCTCTCTAAACAGTATTCCTCCCCTCTCTCTCTAAACAGTGTTCCTCCCCTCTCTCTCCCTCTCTCTCTAACAGTATTCCTCCCCTCTCTCTCCCTCTCTCTCTCTAACAGTGTTCCTCCCCTCTCTCTCCCTCTCTCTCTCTAACAGTATTCCTCCCCTCTCTCTCCCTCAGGTATGACAGTAACGCGTCAGAGAGCGGCAGCGGGGGGGATGGCAGCGATGACGAGGGAAAGAATAAACCTGCAAAGAAGGCCAAAGTAGTGAAGGAGAAGAGGGACCGGAAGCCACGCAAAGAGGTGAGAGAGAGAGAGGGAGTCATATAGAAGGGGGAATGGGTGCGGAGTGTCATGAACAGTCAAATGTATGTTTATTATTGTATCAGAGAAAAATATAGCTTCATATTGACATCTGGAAGCACCTACATAGTTTATGTATTTATGCACATGTGATATGAGTGTGTGTGCTCGTGTTTCTCTCTCTCTCGCTGTGTGTGTGTTTTAGAAGAAGCAGAAGGACACTAACGCCCCCAAGAGGCCGATGAGTTCCTACATGCTGTGGCTTAACTCCAGCCGCGAGCGCATCAAGTCGGAAAACCCCGGAATCTCCATCACAGAGATCTCCAAGAAGGCAGGAGAGATGTGGAAACAGATAGGGAAGGACGACAAAGAGGTAAGGGAGGGGGAGAGCTTTATCTCTGCTCTCTGTGTTTGTCTATTTCTCTCTGTTCTGCTCTTCTCTCTCTCCATCTCTCTTTCTCCCATTTTCTGGCCATTTTGAATTTAAATGTCCTCCACTTAAAAATAGGATTTTATTCAAGCAACTGTTACGTTTTAAATGTAGTAGTTGCTTGAATATAATCCTGTTTTTAATGGTGAGTGAGCGTTGCGCCCAATCTAGTTTTTTGGTTGCACCTCAACTCGTGTTGGTTGAGTGCTCTCCACTTCTTTCCATGGGCATTTTGAATAAAATAATAGTAATCCTAGCTAACTGTGTTTAAACCATTGTTTAGGGAAACCGATTGATAACAAAAGGTCTCTCTCTGCTAGGGGTGGGACAGGAAAGCAGAGGAGGCTAAGAAGAACTATGAGAAAGCCATGAAGGAATACAGAGAGAATGGTGGAGGCTCCTCTACACCTGCCAAGAAGTAAGAGCCCACACACACACACACACACACACCAGAGGAGGCTGGTGAGAGTAGCTATAAGAGGACGGACTCATTGTAATAACTGGAATGGAATTAATGGAACGGTTTCAAACATACGGAAACCACCTGTTTTACTCCCTTCCATTGATTCCATTCCAGCCATTACAATGAGTCCATCCTCCTATTTATTTATTTTCAACTTTATTTAACCAGGTAAGCCAGTTGAGAACAAGTTCTCATTTACAACTGCGACCTGGCCAAGATAAAGCAAAGCAGTGCGATTAAAAACGACAACAACACAGAGTTACATATGGGGTAAACTAAATGTACAGTCAAAAACACAATAGAAAATATATACACTGTGTGCAAATGTAGTAAGTTATGGAGGTAAGGCAATAAATAGGCCATAGTGCAATATAATTACAATTTAGTATTAACACTGGAGTGATAGATGTGCAGAAGATGTTGTGCAAATAGAGATACTGGGGTGCAAATTAGCAAAATAAATAACAATATGGGGATGAGGTAGTTGAGTGGGCTAATTTCAGAAGGGCTGTGTACAGGTGCAGTGTTCAGTAAGCTGCTCTGACAACTGATGCTTAAAGTTAGTGAGGGAGATAAGTGTCTCCAGCTTCAGAGATTTCTGCAGTTCGTTCCAGTCATTGGCATCAGAGAACTGGAAGGAATGGCGGCCAAAGGAGGTGTTGGCTTTGGGGATGACCAGTGAGATATACCTGCTGGAGCGCATGCTACGGATGGGTGTTGCTATGGTGACCAATGAGCTAAGATAAGGCAGGGATTTGCCTAGCAGTGATTTATAGATGACCTGGAGCCAGTGGGTTTGGCAACGAATATGTAGTGAGGGCCAGCCAACGAGAGCGTACAGGTCACAATGGTGGGTAGTATATGGGGCTTTGGTGACAAAACGGATGGCACTGTGATAGACTACAGCTCCTTCCACCAGCCTCCTCTGACACACAGCCATGAATATCAGATACGCACACGACCCGGTACACTTACAAGCTCTCAAACACACACACACTTGTAACCCTGCTTTTAACACACGCACAAATCTACAGCCATCTTGACCATACGTTTCCCTTTCCGTTTGTCCACCAGTGAGCGCAAGAAGAAGGCAGGAGGCAAGAAGGAGGACAAGAAGGCAGGAGGCAAGAAGAGGAAGTCTGATGGAGGGGAGAAAGAAAAGGAGCAAGGAGGCAACGACAGTTTTAAGAGCCGAGAGTTTATTTCCAGCGAGGAGAGTTCGTCTGACGGTGAACGCAAGAAGGCCAAGAAAGCCAAAGGCAAACCCAAGAGCAAGGGCAAGGTACTGCACTGTCACTATGGCAACAATAGGAATAACTTTATTCGGGTAGCCATTTTCATACATTATGATCAAAGCATTCATTAAAATGAAATGTTGAGATTATCATAGTGACGACTGTCTCGCTCTCTCAGGAGTCTGAGGAAGAGGAGGAAGTGATGACCACGCCCCCCAGCTCTGAGGAGGACTCTGACTAAGGAGAGGGGGAGGAGCCTCGCTGGACCTCCTGATGACATCAGAACGAACAGGGAACATTTGGACAAGTTTACTCACAGTGACAGGTGCACAAAGACACATGCAGATCATATCACACACACACACACACACACACACACACACACTAAGCGTTACATGGACCAATAACTTGTACTCCCTGTCTATGTCTCACACGTTCTTAGAAAGTGAATTATTATTTACTACGTTACCCATGATTCTACTGGGTTCTATTCTATTCGCCCCATGGGGATGGTTGTAGTTTAATAGCACTGAGACATGCAGAGGGGTCTTCAGTCTTGAGTTTTTTTGTTGTTTCTTGTCCTTTTGACCTGTTTAGATAAATTAAGAACTGCAATTCTGTGCTTTTTATTTTATTTTAATTTAGTTGAATTGTCTTGTTTGTTTCTTTGTTTTCAAGCTGAATGAATAAATCTTTTGTAATAAAATCTTTGTGATTGTTGTTTGTGGGAGCTTGAGGAAATGAAGTCCTCAAGGAAATTTAATTATTTAGGAGGCGGTAGGACAAATAAAGGAAGCCATTTAGGAGTATGGGAATGGGGCCATGAATGCATTTTATGAGTGGAGGAGTATTTGGTAGAGGAGATGTTTGGTTTAACCCCATTGAAACAGGTCTCCTGTTCATATTATATACCCTGAAATTACCCTCAAGAACACTAAAACTCACACACACCTATAATATGTAGTTGTGAGGTAAGCAACTATACTGAACTAAAATATAAACGCAACATGTACAGCGTTGGTCCCATGTTTCATGAGCTGAAATAAAACATCCCAGAAATGTTCCATACGTACAAAAAGCTTATTTATCGCAAATTGTGCATATTTGTTTACGTCCCTGTTAGTGAGTATTTCTCCTTTGCCAAGGTTAATCCATCTATTTTACAGGTGTGGCATATCAAGAAGCTGATTAAACAGCATGATCATTACACAGGTCCACCTTGTGCTGGGGACAAAAGGCCACACTAAAATGTACAGTTTTGTCACACAACACAATGCCACACATGTCTCAAGTTGAGGGAGCGGCATGCTGACTGCAGGAATGTCCACCAGAGCTGTTGCCAGAGAATTTAATGTTCATTTCTCTACCATATGCCGCCTCCAACGTCGTTTTAGAGAATTTGGCAGTACGTCCAACCGGCCTCAACCACAGACCATGTGTAACCACGCCAGCCCAGGACCTCCACATCCGGCTTTTTCACCTGTGGGATCGTCTGAGACCAGCCACCAGGACAGCTGATGAAACTGAGTAGTTTTTCTGTCTGTAATAAAGCCCTTTTGTGGTGAAAAACTCATTCTGACTGGCTGGGCCTGGCTCCCCAGTGGGTGGGCCTATGCCCATCCATGGCTGCGCCCCTGCCAATTTATGTGAAATCCATAGATTAAGGCCTAATGAGTTTATTTCAATTGACTGATTTCCTTAAATGAGCTGTAACTCAGTAAAATTGTTGCATGTTGCGTTTATATTTTTGATGGAACACTACACGGGCAGATAAGGATAGCATAAACTTATTTTGTACACAAAGTACGCACTCTTTGTATCACAGTTTTTCTCAAGCTTTTTCTGTAACAATGTCGATTTTCTAAACAGAGTTCAGAAGACAGAACTCTGGCAGTCGCCTTCTCAAAACATAAATACATTCATCAAAACTATTATACTGTCAAAATTGCTAAAAGATTAATCAAAGGAACCCAACTGCTTGCAAAAAGATGAACGCATACTTATCTCTTGAGTCCAAGCAGACAAAACAGTTAGTCTATCTTTAAAAAATCCTAGTAGATCATTACATTTTCTTTGCAGTCACTAAATCATGATGATCCAAATTGGAAGTACAACGATTCAAAGGTGCAGAATTATGGGCAATTACTCTCCTTTTATGCATATTTCACCAAACAATTTCATACACATCAAATAAAATACACTATATATACAAATGTATGTGAACACCCCTTCAACTTAGTGGATTTCATCCACACCCGTTGCTGACAAGTGTATAAAATCGACCATACAGCCATGCAATCTCCATAGACAAACATTGGCAGCAGAATGGCCTTACTGAAGAGCTCATTGACTTTCAACGTGGCACCGTCATAGGACGCCACCTTTCCAACAAGTCAGTTCAACACATTTCTGCCCTGTTATTGTGAAGTGGAAACGTCTAAAAGCGTGAAGTGGTAGGCCACATAAGCTCACAGAACGGCACCGCCGAATGCTGAAATGCGTAAAAATCATCTGTCCTCCGTTGCAATACTCACTACCGAGTTCCAAACTGCCTCTGGAAGCAACGTCAGCACAATAACATTTCGGCGGGAGCTTCATGAAATGGGTTTCCATGGCCGAGCATCCGCAATGCCAAGCGTTGGCTAGATTGGTGTAAAGCTCACCGCCATTGGACTCTGGAGCAGTGGAAACGTGTTCTCTGGAGTGATGTGGAGGAGGAATAATGGTCTGGGGCTGTTTTTTCATGGTTCGGGCTAGGCCCCTTAGTTCCAGTGAAGGGAATACTTAACACCACAGCATACAATGACATTCTAGACGATTCTGTGCTTCCAACTTTGTGGCAACAATTTGGGGAAGGCCCTTTCCTGTTTCAGCATGACAATGCCCCCGTGCACAAAGCGAGGTCCACACAGAAATGGTTTGTCGAGATCGGTGTGGAAGAACTTGACTGGTCTGCACAGAGCCCTGACCTCAACCCCATCGAACACCTTTGGGATGAATTGGAACGCTAACTGCGAGCCAGGCCTAATCGCCCAACATCAGTGCCCAATCTCACTAATGCTCTTGTGGCTGAATGGAAGCAACTCTAGAGGAAAGGCTTCCCAGAAGAGTGCAGGCTCTTATAGCATCAAAGGGGGGACCAACTCCATATTAATGGCCATGATTTTGGAATGAGATGTTTGACGAGCAGGTGTCCACATACTTTTGGTCATGTAGTGTATTATTCCTGATAAAAAAAATAAAAAAATAAGCACATTGTGTGCAGGATTCAATTCCATCACAATCCAATTCCATGTATTCAATACAAAGGCTGGTTTGCTCATAGTTTTGTAGACTTTCCATTGGTGCACAGAAACACAATCCACAATAGAAATAAGGAAAGATGAACACAATAGAGGAACACAACTGATATGAATGTATAGGCCTCAATCAAATCAAATCAAATTTCATTTGTCACATGCAGAGAATTCTACAGGTGCAGACCTTACCGTGAAATGCTTACTTACAAGCCCTTAACCAACAATGCAGTTTTAAGAAAAACAAGAGTTAAGAAAATATTAACTAAATAAACTCAAGTTTAAAAAAGTAACACAATAAAATGACAATAGCGATGCTATATATACAGGTGTCATGACTCTCCCTTGGTGAGGATCAAAGGCCTCACATCAGCTTGGCAAATGGCCGACATCAACCAGACCTTCTTACCCACGGGGAGCTGTGCCGGTCTTGACACCTTAACAGTGCCATAAATTAGAGAGGAGAATCTCTGGCACTCTAGTATGTTGAAAGGGATGCCTTTGTTTCAGATACTTTTTGCCACCCAAAAACTTCAACATCCAACAATGAACATTGGGACAATATATTTCAACATCCAAACGTTGGGAATGATGAGAAATGGAATATGGAAAATTAATATATATTTTGTGATGTCATTAAAAATGGTATAAAGGCGTTATAACAAAAACATTGTGACTTGAAGAGCTTTTACACTGTGGATATCAGGGTTACATCCTTTACCTTGGGTAGAAAATATCAAGGAGGAAGACAATGTTTTCGTGAAGATAGGAATGTGATTTTAGCTTTCTAACAAAATCATAGTGATGATAATACTTTTGCCTCGTAACTAGCCACGCCCGAGGGAGCTCAGAGAGTGTGTCAGTATGACGGAAATGCCCCTCTTTACCAGAGTGCATAAAAGATTGAGATAATAATTATCAGATCAGACTAGACGGACCTCAAGCTGCAGCTTTTGTCCATATTGGTCCCGACCCTGAAAATCAACAAGAGGTGAAGACGACAAAGTTGCCTCCACTAACAATCAATGTTACGGCTGAGTAGCTGTTCTAAGTACTGTATCTAAGAAGGTGAATTGAATTGTGCAGTTCTGGCGCCGATGAAGATGGCGGCGTCGCGACTAGCTCTTAGGAAACTTTGCTTTTTTTTTTTTTTTATGTATTATTTTTTACATTATTGTGTTTTGTATCATTACATACAGCCGGGGAAAACGATTGGATATCAGAGCGGCGGTAACCAGCATTACGACCAGGAATACGACTTTCCCGAAGCAGATCCTTTGTTTGGTCTCCCCAGGGCAATTGAACTGATTCCAGCGGCTGACCCAAAACATTGCCGGCGGAGGAGAGGCACTCGGATCGGTCTGCTGGTTCGACTTAGGAGGCGCGCACACCACCCACGGCTTATAAGTATACTACTCGCTAATGTTCAGTCTCTGGTTAACAAGGTCGACGAGCTCTGGGCAAGGATTTCTTTCCAGAGAGACATCAAGGCCTGTAACATACTTTGTTGCGAACTACCGCATTTAACCATGGCAAGGTGACTGGGAATATGGCAGAATACAAACAGTGTAGCTACTCACTCCGCAAGGCAATTAAACTGGCAAAACATCAGTATAGAGACAAAGTGGAGTCGCAATTCAACGGCTCAGACACGAGACGTATGTGGCAGGGTCTACAGACAATCACGGACTACAAAAGGAAAACCAGCCACGTTGCCAACACTGACGTCTCGCTTCCAGACAAGCTAAACACCTTCTTCGCCTGCTTTGAGGATAACACAGTGCCACCGACAAGGCCCACCACTAAGGACTGTGGCCTCTCGTTCTCCGTGGCAGACGTGAGTAAGACATTTAAGCATGTTAACCCCCGCAATTCTGCCGGCCCAGACGGCCTCCCTAGCCGCGTCCTCAGAGCATGCGCAGACTGGCTGGCTGAGGTGTTTACG